ATTTATAATTCATATTTATAAATTCTAAATGAATAAAATAGGTTGAATTACCTGATAAAAAATATGCAACAGCTCGTGTTTATCATGTTCCATGGCAAAATGATACTCATGGAAAAGCAGATCAAGTTGATGTACATGCTAAACTTAGTGGAAATCCAAATGAAGATCTTGGTCATTTTTAGAATCTATACAAGTCAATGAATGAACATTTTCATATCTTATTATTTCTATTGAATTATTTAATCCTAATTCATTCCGTATACTTTATTCACTGGAACTATTTAGCTAGATTTTCATGGAGAAAAATCAATAACATTAGATTTGTTTGCATCAATATACTTGCTTCGTTTTTTTTCATTGTAAACAATTTCTCAAGACAACATAAAATGAACGATGTTGTCATAAGAAGTAATCACATAATAAATATGTTCAATTTTATAGTGTAGAAATTAATATTTAATGATAGAAATAAAATTTTGCTTCTTTTTTTTGTCAGCTTCTAAATTAGTATTTAATTAAATATAATCGAAAATAAATTCTATGAAAAGTTAATATAATTTATTCTCGAAATGGAAAGCTACGTTATGGATGAAGACTTCTGTTTAGACATGCACATCAAAGTAATGTCTAAGTTAATTTGCCGGCATCGACACCTGTAGGGACTGTTGGAGAATCATTTAATCAGGTTTTTTAGCCATTTCAGAACCCGCTGTTCTTCCTGTAATTAAATCTGATTATTTCGGGGTATTTGTAAAAGACGTGAACACCCCTAAAATGGGAACTGATCTTATCAGCGAATGAAGTTCAGCGAGCTGATTCTAAATTTTAGCCTTTTATATGGTTGCATAAGAAAAGTAGGTCCGTGCTATTTTTCTTATGCAAGTATATAAAAGACTGAAATTTTGGGCATGTACCTAACTCGAATAGGGCTACTCACTGGTAAAAGATATGGATGTTCAAAGATTGGAAAAAAACAGTGTGAATTGGATCATTGCTTTAATATTCAATTGTTTTGGATGCTCATATAATCAACTCGCTGAACTCTATTCGCTAATAAGATCAGTTCCCGTTTTGAGGGTGTTCGCGTCTTTTACAAATACCCGTTTTATTCGATCTATGTTGGAATCCATTTTTTCCATCATCTTTTACTTAATTCTCTAGAACTGCGAGAAGGAAGCAGACCATATATTCTCATAAGACGTTAGCGATACATGATCGCTAGTCTGTATCAAAAACGTCTGTCACGGTTCGTGAAGGAGGGGAAGTGGATGGATCCAAATTTTTACCCCTATACACTTCAACACTCTTTTTAGATCGTGTTTCACAAAACTATGATGAAATTTTTTTTCATTTTTTTTTATTTAAATTTTTGTAAATAATCATTTGATTTATTTATTTAATTGATTATGTGTATATGTTAATGTTGATTTAAAATGATTTTTTTTACATTTATTAAATGATGAGAAAAATTTTTTATTTTCTTCTTTTTGTTATCATTTATCTTGTGATGATTCATTACTTGATGATGGTTGTGATATGTAACACGATTAATCATATCTTTTTAAAACAGCTGTGTCAACTATTAAATCATGTCGTGTTGATATTATCAAAGGATTTTTCTCCTAATTTATTAAATCTTTCAGCAGCGAGTGATTTACTTGTTTTTCTCATTAATGGATATGATTCATGAACTGCTTCAAATTTACTTGAATCGAATGAATATAAATTACAATATGTTACACAACGAACATCAGCTGTACGTTTAGCTCGTGTTAATAAACAAATTTCTAAAGCAAAATATTAAAAAAAACGAAAATAAAAGAAAAATGATTTAGTTCTCAAAATATGATTCATCTGATAAATCAACAACACCTTTTTGTATAAAAATACATTTTATCTTCAATAGTTCCTTCAGGAATTATTTGATCATTCAGTTGGAATATTTTAAAATGTAATTTAGTAAAAATATCAGAAACAAAGTTTGAATCAGTATTTGCAAAAACATGAACTGATGAAACAAGAGATCAACAATTATAATTAATAACATCCTAGTCAATTTTAAATAGAAATATTTTCATTGTTTCTTTTCTTAATTATAAATAAAAGCGAAAAACTAAATGAACCAATCTTGATTTTTCTGAAAGTTCATTTAAAATAATATCTTCATCAAGAACTTTTCCTTGATAAAAATGTTCATAATAATCGGATATTCTATTATCAATTTATAAATAAACTTATTTTTTATTTTGTTTGTATGTTTTCATTAACGAATATGAAATATTTGTGATTATACTTCGTTTTTTTTTTTAATGCCGCTTGTCAGTAAATTTTACTGTCATTGCTTTATTAGAAGAAAGTAACAAGTGCTTCTGCAAACGAAAATGCCACTAAATGCTTTCTAGTTTTCGAAAGAAAATCTCTTAATTTAACAAATAAAATTTCGGTTGAACTTCTAGTTTTCAAAAATATCGATTTAGTAATTCTAATAATGAGATATTTGTTCATCAGTGAAGAAAAATAAAATATAATGAAGTGTTATAGTAGCACATCTATACAATAGTTGAAAGAAATTTCGTATTGGCTACATTAAAACAAATACAAATCATTGTCATTGTTTTCATTATCACTAGATCGAGAAAAAAAAAACATTAATATTGAAGTTAATGATGAGTAAGAAAGAAAAGACAAAAAAAAAGAAACGTTTCGTTATATGTAACAGATAGTGATAGATATAATTATTCATACGTCATCGTACTTTTTGGGTTTATTCAGCGAGATTGTTTCACATGACTCAGTATTGACTTTTGATCGGGTATTCATTTAGCTCGAGTTTCTTCTCATGAAAACTGTTTCACTGTGTGATGTTATAACATCAGCTAAAAGAATATCTTTTGATCGTATATATAATAGTAGAAAAATATTCTTATCATTTAGTTTTATATTTTACAATCATGTCATCTAAAAAAGATTCTGCTACTTCAAATGAACCCACGGCACATAAGTGAGTGAAATTCTAAAAATCTAACTATTTCTATTGTATAAAAATGTATTATAGACCTCCCGTATGTGGTGGTATTGGTGGTCTGAGACCAGTGAATGAAGAAGATTTACAAGTTTGGGATATGGTAAGAATCAATTCTTTCTTAAATTGAAATCGATGAATTTATTTTATATAGTACAAAGAACATTTGGAAAAAAAAATTCAAGATCAATTTAAAGTACC